AGAGAGAGAGAGAAATATCACACTGCTCTGCTGCTAAAAATGGATAAAAGCACAGACAAAATTCAGACTGCTACTATTTTTTGAGCTATGCGATGTACTTTGCCCAATTTTACACCCTACAGTGTCAGACACCACATAAGCAAGTCTGTTTGAGATTACTTAACAACTCAACATGGTTTGAGGCCAGTGATAGAGTTCAGCATGCATTTTGCACAATGATTATTGCTCGGGTATAAAATCACCATCATGTCTTAGCTACATTAGCCTTGTGTCTCCTGTACAAAACTAAAGAAGCAAACTTCAGACACCGAACATGTCTTGGCTAATTGACTACATCTAGGTTAAGTGGAAAAAAAGCGAACATTTGCTTAATTCTTCCTTAAATAGAATGGCAGTTGATATTGTTGTATAGATATTATAGCAGATTGTAGTATATTTTATTTATCTGTAGCTGCCAGCACTAACCAGCACTGTCAGGCTTCATTTTGCACTTCGGGTGATGAGGGGGTGATTTGATTTCGGATAGAATTTTGTTTTATTCTGGTCAAAGTTTTGGGCTCAAAACTTGATGATATGTGTCATGTTGAATGAGTTTTGTTGGGTGTGGGTGAGGTTCAGACTCAAAACATGATGCAGTGTGTTATGTCCAAATTGGCTGTTTAGGTTTGGACCAAAATTTCTGGCCCAAAAATCAGGTGACTAGAGTTTGAGTCCGAGGTTCACTAAGTTTCAACTCTGAGTTGAGTCATGTGACACAAGTGTTCAAGTCTGAGTTGAGTCTTTACTCAATGGGGTTCTAGTCTGAGTCATGTCTTGAGGTACTAGGGTTCAAGTCCGAGTCGAGTCACGAGTTACTAGGGTTAGAATCGGAGACAATCTTGTGTCACTAGGTTTCATGTCTGAATTAAGTCTTTAGTATTTAGGTTTCAAGTTGGAGTCAAGTCTTGAGTCACTAGGGTTTGATTCCAAGTTGAGTCGTAAGTGACTGAGGTTCAAGTCTAAGTCGAGTCTTGATTCGCTATGGTCCGAATCTGAATTTAAGTCTTTAGTCACTGGGGTGCAAGTCTGAGTCAAGCCTTGCGTCTCTAGGGGGATTAAGTCTGAGACAAGTTTTGACTCACTTGAGTTTGAGTTGAGCTTTGTCTTGAGTCACTGGTGTCCAAGTCTGAGTCAAGTCTTGAGTCACTAGGGTTTAGTTCGAATCGAGTCTCGACTCACTGGGGTCCGAGTCTGAGTTGAGTTTTGAGTCACTGGGGTACAAGTCTGAGTCAAGTCTTGAGTCTCTAGGGTGCAAGTCTGAGCGAAGTCTTGAGTCACTCAGGTTTATGTTTGAATCGAGCCTTGAGTCAGTAGTGTGCGAGTCTGAGTCAAGTCTTGAGTCACTGGGGTTTAAATCTGACCAAGTCTTGACTTACTGGGGTAAGAGTCTGAGTTGAGTCTTGAGTTACTGGGGTGCAAGTCTGAGTCTAGTCTTGAGTCACTAGGGCTCAATTCCAAGTCAAGCTTTGACTCACTGGGCTTCAAATCTAATTCATGCCTTGAGCGGGGTTTGAGTTCTAGTCGAGTTTTGAGTCACTGGGATGCGAGTTTGAGGCGAATATTGAGTCACTGAGATTCATATGAGGTTTGCTGAGTTTTAAAGCTTTAAAGGAACATTATCTGTAATTTAATGTTGGATTTGCTGACAACTCCAGTTAAATTACCTCCTGCGCTACCTAGAACACTGCTATCCAAACTGCATGCCAGCCAACCATTTGAAGTTGCTTTCCCTCTTTTCTTTAATTACCACACTTATTGCCTCATTCTGTCCTTCAGTCTGAAGGTTTTTCTGTAACAAAAGGCTTGTTATTTACACCATATTGAATCCCGTCCCTGCCCTATGTTAAATATTTGTGCTCTTGTCCAGCACAGTTTCACCAATTGCTCATTAGTGCTTTAGCATTTCATAGTACAGTGTGACCCAGTGCAGCTAAACTCAGCAACATCAGGCAGTTCTTTCACATTAAATGAAAAAATTAATTGTGTCAATTGTGTTAAGCGGCCAGGACATAAACCAGCCCCCATGCACCAAAACGATGGATCCAAAAAGCCTTGTTGCTACATGAGGATTTAAGTGACTACTTTAAGCCTAGCCTAAGCCACTTTGGCATATGTTATTTCAGAACATCACTTCAGCGATGCAGCCTCTGCAACCCAGTGATGAAGCAGAAAATGAGCTCCGCACAATATACGCCATGGCTCCTGGTTGTCATGGTGCATAATTTAGCAAGATGCTGGCGGGAGACCCTGGCTGCCTGCACAAAAGGGCCAACATGTGTCATGCTAATTAACTTTTCCTTCCCTACATCCAAAAATCAATGGCCTGACAACAGCTCCCGAGGCCAGCTAAGTTGTTTTTCAGCCAATTAAAATGTGATCTTATCATTAAGCCTACTTTGATTGGCGTGAGCTTTAAGGTCATTAATAAGAGTGTGCTGGGAGATCACAACGCGCCGGGCACATTCAGACCCACATGGTGGAATTAGTCAGTAACAAAGTGATGCTTTTCAGTACTTTTCACGCAGCTGCTGACAGAAAATGGGAAATGTTTCTCTGTAAATATCTCTTTTCACTTCCCAACTTCAACTTCCCAAGATCAAGCTGATTATCACATCCAACATGACTTAATGAATCTGCTGCACATATCTGAGTGTGCTTAGGTGTGACAATACAACACACCCTTGCCGTTTTAAAGGAAATGTAGTGAAATCACTCTGCTAGACTGCGGGACTCAAAAGACAGTGGAAGACTTTAATTATAAGCATTTTGGATTTATAAAGCTTTCTCAAATGCTTTTTATTAACTGTAGTCTTCATTTTGCTGACATTTTACATATGCACACTGGCCACTTTATTAGAAACACCTACTTTATAGGTCCACATATATAGGTACAATTACAGACTCAAGTCCATCTGTTGTCATGCACAATTTGTCAGCAGTAGTAGCATGTGGTGTAGGTATGTGTATGTGGGGTGGTTCTGGGTGCAAGTGCCGGATGGTGTGTGCATATGTGTGTCCAGTGTAAGAGCAGCAGTGAGCACGTTGTGGCTGTTGCTTTATTTATTTATTTTTTTTGTTTGTTTGTTTTGTGCTGTTTGTGGTATATTTGAAATTTATTTTGTTTTGAACTTTTCTGGGACTTTTTCCATTGTTGACCAGCCAAAAGCCTTTGTATCACAGTGGCAGACCACTAGGTTGTGAGCCAAGGACTTTGCACTTTGGCAGTGAAGGTGGACCAGGCCATGAACGAGGGACTTTGCACCACAACACTAGAGTTTGTCTAGGCCAAGAGCCGGAAGCTTTGCACTGCAACAGTGGAGTTTAACTAAGCCAGAACAACCATGACAGCAGAGTTTGACTATGTTGTAAGCATGGCCACTTTTCACTGTGGCAGCAAAGTTTGACTAGATGGTGAGCCAGGAACTTTGCACGGCAACTGTGGAGTTTGACTAAGCCAGGAGCGGGATTTGACTATGTTGCAAGCTGGTTACTTTTCACAGTGGCAACAACGTTTGACTAGGCCTTGTCACTGTGCCAGTTTAGTTAAACTAGGCCACGAGCTGGAGACTTTGCACCGCAACAGTGGAGTTTGACTGGGCCATGAGCTGCACAATGCCAGCAGAGTTTGACCTGTTTGCTAGGACTAGATCATGATTCAGGGACTTTGCACTGCACCAATAAAGTTTATCTAGGCCACGAACTGGAGACTTGGTACCATGACAGCAGAGTTTGATGAGGCCAGGAGCTGGAAACTTTGCACCTTGACAGTGGAGTTTGACTGGACCATGGGCTGGGGAATTTGCACTATTACAGTGAAGTTTGATTTGGTTGCGAGCAGGATTACTTTTCACTGCGCCAATAAAGCTTGACTAGAAGGTGATCCGGAAACTTTGCACAATGAGAACAGAGTTTGACTAAGCCAGAATCCAGGAACTTTGCACCACAACAGTGGAGTTTGACTAAGCCAGGAGCTGGGAGCTTTGCACCATGACAGCAGAGTTTGACTAGGTTGCAAGCATGGTCACTGTACACAGTGGCAACAACGTTTGACTAGGTCATGAGCCAGAGACTTTGCACTGCACCAGTGAAGTTTAACTAGGCCACAAGCTGGAGACTTTGCACCATGACAGCAGAGTTTGATGAGGTCAGGAGCGGGGAACTTTGCACCGCGACAGTGGAGTTTGACCGGACTAGGAGCTGGGGACTTTGCACTATGACAGTGGAGTTTGACTAGGTTGCGGGCAGGGTCACTTTTCACCTTGGTAGCAAAGATTAACTACAGCATGAGCTGGGGGTATTGCACTACATCAGTGAAGTTTGGCTAGGCCACCAGCCAGGGTCTTTGCACCATGACAGCGAAGTTTGACTAGGCTGTGAGCAACAAACTCAGTCTTTATTTATGCACCAGGAAGGTAGGGATTTCTTGTGGCCAGTGAGGGTATATGTTCTAATGTAACTTTTTTATATTTTCACAAAAGCATATTCAAATGTTTATAAATGAAGATTTGTGCAAGAGAACACATTAGCAGTAGAATTTATTGGTTCTAAAAAAACCTCTTGGCCAAAGTATGCTGGAGGAACAGTGGCTGACTCACTTCATTAGCTTACATCTCCATAAAACGTCAAATCCTAGCTTAGCAAAGCAGCTGACAGGAAATGCATTAGTTTGTGCATCTCTTACTAAACACAAAGTCATACTTTCACTTTTTAAGAAATGTTTGAAGAGTATTTGTGCCCACAGATCAGAGGTCAATTCAACTAGGGGTCATTATTACTATATTCAATGGTCTGAACTCAATTAAAAATGGTGGGGCATCGCCCCAATACTTTGAAAAATGGCAGGTCACATGCCTGTCAATGAACTGAAATGATAACGTTGAAACAGGCTAGAATGTTTGAAAATTTGAATGTGTCTATGTTTATTGCTTATGATATAAATGTGTGTGAATGTTATTACTTACCATTGACCTGCAGGGTGTGTGTCTGGAAAAGCTGCTCATAGCCATCAGCATGGCAGGTGTAGTTGCCCATATGAGTAGTGGTCACTTTGGTGATGTACAGACTTCCATCATCTCCAAAGTCCTGCGAAGCAAACAAATCAGGCTCAATGACAGCAAAATCAAAAACAGCAGCCCGGCAGTGTGGACTATCACAGCACTCTTCAATCACAATCAGGCAAAGTCAAATAATAAAAAAGGACGAGCGCAGGCATCTGCATAAATCTGCAAATAAAAGAGCGTGAGCATTATCAAGCATTCTAATTTAGGAGCGCAGATGGAGAGAAAGAACGGCTGTGGCATTATATGACTTTTCAAAAGGACAGAGAGAGAGAGGAAAAGAAAAGGAGAGAAAGAGCAAGAAAGAGAGGAAAGAAGAGAGAAAAGAGGAGAGAGATACAGAGAGGGAGAGAAAGACAGGAGAGAGAGAGATAGAGAGGAGAGTGACAGAGAGAGAAAGAGAAATATAGAAAGATAGAAAGAAAGAAAGAAAGAATGAAAGAAAGAAAGAAAAAGAAAAAGAGAGGTTAAGAAAATGAGAAAGGAATAGAGGAAGAGAGAGACAGAGAGAGTGGAGGGAGAGCAAGAAACAGAGGAAGAAAGGGAAAGAAAGAGAGGAAGAGTGAGAAACAGAAAAATAAATGGGGAGGGAGAGAAAGGGAGAGTGAGAGAGAGACAGAGAGATGAAGAGAAAGCGAGAGAGGAAGATGAAGAGAGGGATAAGAGAGAAGCAGAGAAAAAGAGGAGCAAGAGAAAGAAGGGTGACCAATGATGAGAATGAGAGAGAGAGAGAGCAAGAAGGAGGGGAGGAGTGAGAAACAGAGAAATAGAGGGAGAGAGAAAGTGATAATGAGATGGAAAGAGAAAGAGTGAGGTGGATAGATACATAGAGAAAGAGAGAGAGAGCAAGAGAGAGAGGAGGAGTGAGAAATAGATGGAAAAGAGAGAGAAAGAGAGAGTGAGAGAGAGGGGACTGAAAGAAAGAAAGGGAGAGAAGGTTTAAGAGAATGAAAGAGAGAAAGAGAGAGAAAGTGAAAATGAGATGGAAAGAGAATGAGTGAGGTAGATAGATAGATAGATAGATAGATAGATAGATAGAGACCAATGATGCGTGAGAGAGAGAGAGAGAGAGAGAGAGAGAGAGAGAGAGAGAGAGAGAGAGAGAGACAGAGAGAGAGAGAGAAGAGAGACATGTAAAAAAATGGTAATCAACAGGAACAGATTGCATTTGCATCAGTTCTGCTGTGGGCTAACATTAAAGAACATTTGCGAGCCACAATCAGAGAGACAGAGAGAAAAGAGAGAGAGAGAGTAAAAGAAAAAGAGAGCAAGAAAAGTTCAATGTTTATGAGAGAGGACAGACTCAGAGAAGTCATCCTCGGAGCAAGAATTATCTTTGGTAAATTGTTTGCTGCTGTGCAATCCATTTCTCTCATCTGATAAAGGAACAAAGCTGTGATCATTTGCCAGTGGAGAGCAGCAACAACAAAGTGCACGGCATTGTGTAACCAACAGACAGAGTTTTAGAGGGAACAGTGCAGCGCAAAAATAGCTCCACAAATGGCCTAAAGTGCAGGAGACGATGACTATTGAAAGCCTGATCATATTTCTGTGATTCAAAAGAAAAAAAATCAACAGGACTCAGCATGCAGCCCAACAAGTGGCGGCACAATCAGAGAGCGACGGAGACAAAACAGAAAACAGTCCCTGAAAAGAAAACAGCATCAGCCAAGAAAGTCACCAAAAGCCCCGAAGCTAATTAATTCACACGAGCAAAGTCCAGCACTCCTTCAATACTAGGCAGTGTCATCGTGGAGAGCGCAGTTACGTGGGAAGCGTTCAGCCATTCCTCTGAGGACTGCGTTCCCATTCTCTCCTCCTTCTGATTAGATCTGAATTTGATTAGGCCGCATCACCCCGAGACAACGAGGACAGAACGGCTAGATTGAAAATCTTTTGTTTCATTTTCCCCCCCTTCTATTTATTTTCCTTCTCGGTGTGTTAATTACAAGTAGAGATTGAGTTCTGCCCATGACTGCCTGCACTTCCATTCATTTTATGGTGGATAATTATTTGTTTGAGTGTGTAAGATCCCAGAGGCAAAATGCTGTCAGTATTGTAAAAAAAATTTCCATATACCCAACTTAATATCTGTTATTGTAACTTAACAGAAACTAAAATGATTGCTTTCCAAATTGTTTGTTGATACAGTTGTATTTGCCTAATCTAGTTCTTCATTACTGGTCAGTTTCTGACCACAGAACCCCAATAATGAGCGGGAGAGAACTTGACGCCCTGCCCTCTTGGCTGGTATGTATATTTTATACTCTATATTTTACACTTTATTTATAATGCCTCTGTTCCTGGCTCAGACTCTCCCCAAAAATAGAGCTTGTGTGTTGACTCAAGATTCATCACTCTTGGACGCCCCCTCTAAGGGTGTACTGACACTAGGCCAGAGGTCAGCAACCGAAATGTTAAGAAGAGCCATTGTGTCCTTTCAAAATTCAAGATCAACATTTTATGCCCATTTTACCATTTTGGCTGTAAATATGCCTCAGCTATAGCTGCTTTTCTTGCATCTCCAGCAGGAAACTTTTCCACAAAAGTAGAACAGATTTTTGTAAAATGTCTCTCAACGTTCAACCCTTTATGAGGCTGAAGTCATGAGGCTTCTCATTCACCAGCTTCTTGCTCAAATTGTCCCTTTCCACCTTAAATGTTGCATGAGGTGCCAGCATGTAACCGCAGCACCTTTTAAGGTGGAACAGGACAATTCAAATGAGAAGCTGACTTTAGCTTCACAACGTTTTAGTGTTTGACAGTTTCTGCAGATTAAACATTTCAGGAAACCAGCTGGAGTGATTATAAATTCAAATAAGTCTATTAATCTCCAAATTATCAATGTTCATCTTAAATCTATCTCTTTGCCTTTTCATTAGCTACTAGCTAGTCCAGATTGTCGTCTGCATTGCTACGTGACCAGCAGTCTGTGCATCAACCGTCGGGGTTAAGGTCAGTAAATTAGGAGATATGCATTAACTCCAGTGTTTAAGACCATTTATTGTTAAAACTGTGTTGAACGATCAGCAGAGCTTTATTTTACTGCAAAGAAGGAATATTTTATTTTTACCTAAAAGTCTAGTTCTGCTGTGGAGCTGCAACAGAGCTGTAAAAGAGCCGCATGCATGTTCGACACCCAAAGTCCAGTTCATTTGACTAGTGTGAATGCTCTCTACCGTGCTCTGTGCCACTTAAAGAGATGGATTTAGGCACGGTTCAATTGGACTCAGGCACAGTACACATCTAGTGTGATCACTAATCATGCCTGAGCACAAAACCCGAACATGATGTCATTGATGCGACTGTCCCACTTTTCAACTCTTTTGAGAATATGTGGGTCAATAACAGGTCTGGTTCTCACCTTTCTAGAGAGTAAAACTGCAATTTTCTCTCTTAACATCAGCTGCCTCTGAAAAAAATCTTATTCTTATGCAGCACTATTAACAGAAAATCACTGCATTGCATAATCAATAAATCTACAAGGCATGTGAGAGGGCTGTGTGTTAGCACTCCTGAAACAACTCAAAATAAGCCACAAAGCAAGTACAATCATGACTGTGTTGTGCTGTTTGAGTGCTTTTCTTTTTAAACACAAAAAGTTGTATAGTGATGACGTAAGTGGGCTTCGGCCTGGGACGTTAAGAGCAATGTGAGCGCAGGTCAGCGGAGTGGGGAGGTACATGGTACAAAGCAAGTGTGAGTACATCCTAATTCAGAGTACTGACCACATGTGGACCTGTCATGAATGCATCTATCACCACAGCGCTGGAAATCACACTGATAATCTCTTTTAAAAGGCATCAGGTTCCATAATATGGTTATCTTGGACAACAATCAAACATAATGTTGGTGATAAAGGGTGTTAATAACTTTAGATTTAGATAAGAATCTGTTAAGCTCTTAAATAGAGTCTCAAACTCAAAACTACCTTAAATAATGCAGTGGGTTATGCTATAGCTTGGTGACTGAGGTTCAAACCCCCACACAGATAGTAGTAACATTAGTGTTTTTGGCTGCCTTTGGGTGAAATTCTTAACACTACATTTGATTTGATCTAAAACATGATTACACATCACAGTCTCTCTTGACAAGAGTGTAGGCAAGGGGTCGGCAACATGCAGCTCCGGAGCTGCGTGCGGCTCTTTTACTGCCCTGTTGCGGCTCCACAGCAGAATTAGATTTTTAGGTAAAAATAAAATAATCCTCCTTTGCAATAAAATCATTCTAACACCGTTTGAACAATGAATGGTCTTAAACACTGGAGTTATTGTATAACTGCTATAATACCTAGTAGCTAACAAAAAGGCAAAGAGAAAGATTTAAGATGAACATCAGTAATTTGGAGACGAATGGACGTATTTGCATTTATAAGCACTCAGCTGGTTTTCTGAAACATTTAATCTGCATTGAGAAACTGTCAAACACCAAAAAGTCACGAAGCTGACGTCAGCTTCTTGTTCTCCAGCTTCTAATTTGAATTTTCCCATCCCATTTAAGGTGGAATGGGAAAATTCCAACAAGGCTGGTGAATAAGAGGTTAACTCCACCCTTGTTAAAAATTGAATGTTGGGAGACATTTTACAAGAAACTATAACTAAAGCTTGAAGCAGAGCAAAGTAAGTCTGCATTTTCATTTATATTAAATTTGTTAGCCTAAACTAGCACATTAGCATATATTGAGACATATTTACAACCAAGAGGGTAAAATGGACATAAAATATTTTATGGTGGTTTGATTTTTGCTGAAAGGACAAAATGGCTCTTCTTAACATTTGGGTTGCCGTCCCCTGGTGTAGGCAATAAACAGTAAATTAAATTAGGTTTAATTCTTTCTCATGTTGCTCTTTTTTCTCCACTGAGCCCCCTAAAATGTCTGTGCACGTTCCTGGATACCACTGTGCCTGATAAACTCATTCCAGCACCACTTACAGTATTATGCCACTACTGTGTTAAGAATGTCTGAACACTCAAGTACTGTAATTTCGGGTCAGAGATATATAGTAGCAGTCTTGAAGTCAAAAA